CCCCAGGAGGGATCGCCACGGCGACCGCGCGGCTTGACGTGGGAGGGAGCCGTCAGGCCCTGCAGCCCTCGGCGCCCCCTGGTGGACTCCCGAGGGCTTGCAGGCAGGCGGCGCTGTCCTGCCAGCGAGTGCTGATCCTCTGGGTCTGGGGGGTCACCACCCCCAGACAGGACCCCGACACCGCGCGGTCCAGACCAGCTGCAACTGTGGCCGATTCTCAATTGCCCACCCTCACCCCCACACAACGACACCAAGCAAAGAGCACACCGCACACTCCCGTCTCTGTGCAGAATATATTAGATGATTTTAGAAAAATATACTCGTACATGTGTGTGTATCTGTATTTACAGTTTAGTGTGTTAAAGAGCTGAAGGGAGACGTCTGAACGATGCCCTTTGCCTCTTCGCCCATACGGCTCTCAGCCCGGCCCACTGCTGCACGTCTGCAGAACCGGACCGGTACCACCGGGGTACTGCAAGCTGGAACAAAAGAATCAGCTGCATTTTCATCCTTGCCGGCATCCGGGCCGAAGCTCACCCAGCGCAACCTAAGGACAGGAAGTGGCCCAGGGGAGGGGGGAGGCATTTGAGCGTTACACCGCCGCGCAACGGCTCGCTGGCCGGAGCCAGACCAACCCCCGGCCGTCGTGCCGTCGGGTTCGAGTGCACGTTCATTCCCCAGTCGAGACCCAGGCTGGGCCAGCTGTGGACGAGCAGGGCTCGGGTGTTCCTCCGCGCCGATACCGCCACTGTCCACCAGAGGGCGCCCTTAGCACCTCGCCGGCCCATGGCCAGGAAGGGGCGACCCTCCAGCGGTGCCACACTCAATCCCTTCCCCCCCACCCCCCTCCGGCACCCAGTCTCAACAAGTCCACAGGCTCCTCTCCTCTGCTAGTTCCCTGGATAGTCCGGACATCTCCGTGTCCGATAACAACAGTAAACAAAGTGTGAATCTTCCCCGTAGCAGCATCGCAAGACAGAAAAACGTTTATGACAGGATGGGCTGGACCGGGAGACGCCCCTCTCTCTTGTCCCTGTCCCAGTCCTTGGTAGCGTACTGGTCCTGCCGGGCCCCATCGGGGCCTCTGGTGCCGGGAGAGCCCTGGTCTCCAGATCCAGAGGGAGGAGAACCCCCGAGGTCCCGGATATTCCCTGTGCCGGGGGTTGTGGGGTCAAGCGGTATCCGGGGTGTAAAGAGTCAGGAGGAATTCCTGCCACTCGGAGTCCAGGAGCTCGCCGGCGGGCTGGCCGGCGCCGGGGGGCCCC